AAAACTTAAAAAAAAAAAAAAAAAAAAAAGTTTTTGCCTTTTGTTATGCTGTGCTTGCCAACAGAATTCTCCTGTCGAAAGCAACCCCCCCCCCAAAAAAAAAAAAAAAAAACATTTGCATTCCCCTTTCACTGCTCTCCTCTGCACCCCACCTTCCACTACTGCCAACCCTTGCACCTTCGTTTCCACCCCTTCATCTCTCAAGCTTTCAAGCAATGCACACCCCTGCCCGCTCTCCTCACACACAATGCAAACCCCCCCAACAGATTTGCATACAAACGCAGCCACCCTCCTTATATTCATATACAGTACAGCCCCCTCTTGCTCACATTTACATGCAATGCAGCCAGCTGACCCCCCTGCCTCACGCTCAGATACAATGCAGCCTTCTCTCTTCTTAAGCTGGCCATACATTATGCAATTTTCTTGTATAATTTCATCTAGTTTTACTTTTAACCGCCACCCTATAGCAGACATACTGCTACAGGGCGGCACAGGTGTGCAAAAATCACTTATATATAGATGTGATTTTTGCATTTCCGGGCAGGAGGCGCGCGCAAGCCGCCCAGCCATTCGCAGCTTCGGCTGTCAATCACTGGGTCCCGGTCGGTGATTACTCGATGGCACCCAGTGATCGCTGAGTAATATCAATGGGGGGAGAGAACTGTAAACAATACAGTTCTTTCCCCTGTCCGCTCCAGAACACTGCTTTGTATGGCTCTGCATAACAGCCATACAAAGCAGTGTGCTTACAGTGGAAAGCACAGACACAGCCCCTATAGTAAAACACACATTTATCCCTTTGATCGCCCCTCATGTTAACCCCTTCCTGCCGTGCACCATTAGCACTGGTCACTGTATTGGTGTCACTGGGGATGTCAGTGACACTGTCAGTTCCCTCCAGTGTCAGAATGCCTGCCGCTGTTCCCTGCTGATTGCCGCCATTATTAGTAACCCCCCCCCCCCAAAATCCAGTCTATATAACGCCATTTGTAAACGCTAACTTTCACATAAACCAATTAATTTACACATATTGGGATTTTTTTTTTTTTTTTTTTTTTTTAGCAGAAGACGTAGCAGAATACATTTTGCCCTAAATTTATGTCAAAATTTGATTTCATTTTTTTTAATTGGACATGTTTAACAGCAAGAAGTCAAAAATATAGTTTTTTTTTTTCTCAAAATTGTCTTTGTTTATAGCGCAAAAAGTAAAAACGCAGAGGCAATCAAAAAAAAAAAAAGGACGTAAATTTCATTTGGGTAAAGCGTTGAATGACCACCCAATTGTCAGTTAAAGTAACAGTGCCTGGTCAGGAAGGGGGAGTTCATATTATATGGTTTTAGGCAAATCTAAAGGAAAAAACTGTATAATGTATTGCCAGCCTTATACTCGCATACAATACAGCCCCCTGCCCCCTTTCCTTACATTCACAATGCAGGACCCTATGCTCCCACTCTTACATACAACACAGCTCCCCTTTCCTCACATATGCATAAAATACAGCACCCTTCCCCTTCCCCTATATGATACAACCCTCCCTGACCTGCACATACATAAAACTAAAGTTCCCCTGAATCCATCTCCATATACAGTGAGGAACAGAAGTATTTGAACACCCTGCGATTTTGCAAGTTTCTCCCACTTAGAAATCATGGAGGGGTCTGAAATTCACATTGTAGGTGCATTCCCACTCTGAGAGACAGAATTTAAAAAAAAAATTCAGGAAATCACATTGTGTGATTTTTAAAAAATGTATTTGTCTTGCACTGCTGAACATAAGTATTTGAACACCTAAGAAACAGCAAGAATTCTGGCTCTCAAAGACCTGTTACTGTGTCTTTAAAAAATCCACCTCTACTCCACTCATTAATCTAACTTAGTAGCACCTGTCTGAGCTCTTTAAAGACACCTGTCCACCCCACAGTCAGTTGCCAACTACTACCATGGGCAAGACCAAAGAGCTGTCAAAAGACACCAGAGACAAAATTGTGTACCTTCCAACATGACAACGACCCGAAGCACACAGTCAGGATAACCAAGGAGTGGCTCGGTAAGAAGCATATCAAGGTTCTGGAGTGGCCTAGCCAGTCTCCAGACCTAAATCCAATAGAACATCTTTGGAGGGAGCTAAAACTTCGTGTTGCTCAGCGACAGCCCCAAAACCTGACAGATCTAGAGATCTGTGTGGAGGATTGGACCAAAATCCCTGTTGCAGTGTGTGCAAACCTGGTCAAGAACTACAGGAAACGTTTGACCTCAGTAATTGCAAACAAAGGCTTCTGTACAAAATATTAACACTGATTTTCTCAGGTGTTCAAATACTTATGTTCAGCAGTGCAAGACAAATAAATTCTTTAAAAATCATACAATGTGATTTCCTGAATTTTTTTTTTTCTGTCTCTCAGAGTGGGAATGCACCTACAATGTGAATTTCAGACCCCTCCATGATTTCTAAGTGGGAGAACTTGCAAAATCGCAGGGTGTTTAAATATTTCTGTTCCTTACTGTATATACAATGCAGACCCCCGCATCCCCTACTCACCTTCCCTACACTTATAATACAGTCCTACACTACAGTACTTACTGCAGTTCTCTGAAACACATGGACAGCTGTACATGGGCCTGGTCATGTGCTGAGCAGCCACAGAAGTGTCTTTTCATAGGGCTCCTGTTCTCTGCCAGCAGGAAATACAAGCTGTGTATAGTTCAGTAAAGGTCAGCTAGGGTAGGGTTGTAGAAGTGGCTGGCAAGTTAGCAGTCATGGTGTAGGGACCAGGGGTGCACAGCATGAGATGCAAGACACTAGTGATGCCCAAGTTTCATAGACTGCAAAATATTTCATTATGCATTAAGGTGATTTGGACACACTTATTACAGCCTGACAAACTCTATCATACTATGTAGAGACAAATGTGTGAGGACTTCCATAACTCCAATGTAAATCTTGATTAAGCCTACGAACAGTGATTGGTTAATATGAAACAACAGAATATATGAAGATTGTAAACCTGGTTACACACAGTCGCCTTACAATTTCTTCTTTTAATTAATTTTTGTATTTGGAAAGCAAGATATTCTCCTTTTGTGCTATTTAATTTACGCTTAGTGTTCTGTTCAATCACACTAGTTTAAAAAGAGGTAAACCCGAACTGGATAAAATTTAGTTTGCTAAGCAGTGCATAATTGTGTCTATACAATTGTTTAGTTTTTCTTTTCCTTTGTAACATACTGTTTTTATCCTTCTTTGCATCTCAGGGCTGCCGATTTCCTAAAGCTGGTCTACATGTACTCGCTAAAGCATCAAATGCACATCCTAAATTCTTCTGCAATAGCTCCCTGACAATGGTGGAGAATGCTTGTGCAATGTTTGCCAGAATTGAAGCTTCCATCAGGGGCCCATGTGACAGGGTGGCAACTCAGGATCCGCAAAGGGAGACAGTCGTAACTGTAACAGCAAAGCGTCTGAACAAGGACCTTCGTGGCAGTATTATAACAAAAACAGTTTATGTAAAAACACTGAAAGCAATCTTTGAAATTGCATAAAAATGTTACAAATATTTTATGGGATTTTATGGATTTGATTTAGATCTACTGTACGATTCCATGAATACCTAGGGAGCATTCCAGATAAACAGGTATGTGGTGTATACAGGCGTTACGAAAAAAAAAAAAAAAATTGAGCAAACCTTTTAACAGATTGAAACCGTTTTCCAGCAAAACACATCACAGATCATTTAAAAAAAAAATGAACAAAAATCCTTTATTACAAAATGATAGATAACAGAAGTTATTGTTTACATAATTTAAATTCATAATGGTTACATTGCAAAAGACGTTACCTAAAGTAATCTGAGCTATACATCCAAAGGACATCTATCATGAGGAAGAATGCATTCATTTTAACCTCTTCACGCCAGCCGCACACAAATGTGCGGCCTCCCGGCGCCTGGGCCTAGACGCCGAGCGGCCGCACATTTGCGTTCTATTAAAAAAGGACATATGGGCCGAGAGCGCGCGCCCTGCGTGCTCCCAGCACACATGTCCGATACTCACGGAAAGGTCCCGATCTCCTCTTTCAATCAGGACCTTTCCCGATCATGTGACCGCCGTGACGTAGTGTCACATGACCCTAAACCCCGCCTCCCGGCTTCTGGAACCCTTAAAGTGCCAGGAGGCGCCAGCTTGAAGGGGTTAATGACTTGAAATGCACCACACAAGTCAGACACATCCACTGCTCAATGCCTTTTACTAAGGATACAAATTAATAAATGGTCATGTAATATGAAGAGCACACTCAATAAAAGTTTGTTTCACCAGTAACATAAGGCAATGTTGATGATATTTGATGAGCATTAACTACTGGGAACCAAACAGGTTTCAATTTAGCTATAGTCAAATCAGTGAAAGATGAGTTCTTTTCTCCTATTCCCACCCAATTTTGTTTGGGTAACACATGCTGCAAGTCACATTATCATGTTCACGATTCAATTTTTTTCCCCGCAATGCACATTGTGATGTGCTGGGGGCTGTTGGAAGTACAGGTGTGCTCTGTAGATGCATTTGGGTGCCATTTAAATGAATGACACTGCAACATACTAGTGTGCTTGCCCAACTGGGTAGTGTGAACAAGTCCTTATTGGTTGCTCTTGGTTTCTGCATATTGCTCTTTTTTCTGAAATAAACTATCAATTTAGATATTGACATTATTGCTGTTAAACTCACAAGAATACTTCTAGGCAAGAGCCATCTGTGACAGACAAGCAACTTGCCTAAAATGAAGAGAAATACCACTACATGAACAATTTCCAGTGACCAGTAACTAAAAGAATCTTGGCAAATTGGTTGTTTTGCTCTACTACTTATTTTATCTAATTTGATACAGATAATCTTGCACCTCACAAAACCACTTTGTGTGGCTAGTCAAAGCTGCATGAAATCTATTTTGACAAACTGATGATTTAAATTATTATACATTTTAGTGTATAGTTTGCATCATGTTTCATGGTTTCGTGATAATGCTAGCTGAAAAGTCAAAGAGATCTTTGTTTATCTTTCGCACCATACTCAGCTCCTCTTCCAATTCTGCCGTCCGCGCTCGCAGCTGCTCAACAAGACCTGAAAGATTCTGGGGTGAGAGGAGAGATATGATGAAGCCAAAAATAGAGACAAGTTACTAATGCACAATAATTGCCAAATTTACTGATATTACTAAAGACCTCACCTTGCCTTCACTTTCACCAAGAAGTTGGTGAAGATGACCTGCCCTCTGCTGGTAAGTGTCGTCTGATCCCTAAAAGGAGAAGGAAATATTTTCTTGACAAAATCACAATTTAGCTTGACTATTGTTTCCGTTAGCTTTAAATGAACATGAAAGAGGTAGCCTTATGAGTACAATTCTATAGGACACGGTTTTCAGCAAAAAAAAAAATCATAATTTTTTTTTCTGCAAATTTAGTAGCTCCAAGTAGCTCCTGACACTCTGTGAAAAATTAAAAAATGCTGCCAAATCATTTTGCCCAACTCTCATCCAAAGCGTGCTTATCCAATCAAGGATTAAGCCAATCTGGGGTAAAAGTTAACTAAGTTTTTGTAAGCATCCCTAATTTAACAGTCTGAGAGGTGAAATCAACATATCTGTAGGAAGTAAAAAAAAAAAAAAAAAAAAAGGAGAGAAAAATAGTGAAACAAGCACCACAGTGAGTATGCCCTAAATAATTGATAAAACTTAATTAAACAAGCAAAGTTATAATACAAAGTGTAAAAAAACAAGTCAACTAACTTTCACCACAAATTGAGTTCCTGTAGGGCGTTTTAATTATCTTTTTTTTTCGTTATAGTAGGCTGCCCTGGCTTTACTTTGACCGCAGCCCTGCCAATGTGTCTGCAAGGTAGAGATGTGCGTGGGATAATTCTTTTTCAAGACTGCCATCTGGGTCTGTTGACTGTAACTAGCAAGTATTTGGTAGGCTTTTAATGAGCTATGGGAGTCTACCAGGCCAAGCATTGCACATATGTAACGGAACCGACTCAGACTGCACTTGGGTACTTCTGTTAGAATACCTCTTCCCCGTCCGAACACCGACAACAGACACCACAGCTGACCATACAAGACTAGATGACACCAGTCTTGAAGAAAACCAGGAGATAGACTAGTTTTATTTTAACACAGATACAAGATATATACACTCAAGGGGACAATCCCCCCATCCCTGCATAATGACACAGGGCGGGGCAATCTACATTTAGTAACAAGAGACACACCAACAGACAGTCCCATCAGGAGGGAGGGATGCTTGAGACACCCCCCCCCCCCCCACCAAGCCAATACACAAACACATACATCCCATAATAGTTTGCTCCCAAGCCAGACACACAATAGAACAATGGAATGCAACCACGTAACATCAAACAATCAACAACCCTCACCCCAATATTAGAACAGATCACCCTGTACCCCTAACAGGCACAGGGTGATTTACACATAAGAGGGATATGGGGAGCTGAAACGGGTCTCCCCACCTCTCCAAAGTGAGCTGGGTTCCATGGGCCCCCCACCCAATGTCACTCACGTCACAATATACATTTACTAAACGCTGAAGTGTGTGTGTATTTTAGTGCATGGATAGAAGAATTAAGAGCATTTCCTAGGCTTTCCACAATCATGTACAATCACCACAACTTTACCTTTGTCAAAGTGTCACCTACATTAGTAAATCTCACCACATGTAGCAACCACATACAGCCAACAGTCCAAGTAGGATGGTGTTTTCTTCACTTGCTTCTGTGCTGGAACCCATACACTTCCATATCGTCGTATACTCCCTATGATATCTGCTACTGGATGATGGTACTGAAGTATACGTTGCCGCAGGATAGTTGAGAGAGTGTGTGCCCCAAAGCCCTATATTCCTCCAAAATGTCTGCCACACCATGGCCCTTCTTCCCCAATCCACCCATGTCCACCCCTTTATTACTTCTACAATCTGTGTTCAGTCCCAGAACCTGTTCCTCCTAAACACTGACCTATCATCTGCTCCATTTAGAGAAAAGGAATACTTTGCTTGCAATAACTTGGACTCTTACCAGCCAGAACAAAAAGCTGGTAAACTAACAAACAAATCACATATTGTGAACAATACTCACATGTTGACATTTCCCAAGTCGGAGAATAATCCCATCACTCTCTGGCCCGTCAGAGCCCTCAGCTCCTTGAAAATGTTTGCTGAATCGAGGCAGGGGAAAGTTAGGCTTACTGTCTGCTCGAAGCATGTTGCCAGGTGCAGGTATGATGAAGGCATTTGTTACTGGACCTGGGGAAATTTAAAACAATTTAGAAAAAATCTTTAAAGCAGTATTAAACCCAAAAACAAACATTTTACTGCAGCTTACAAATTCTTAGATGTGATGGCTGCATCTGTTTTCTTATGGGTTTTCTTTCTTCTATATCTGGTGATCTGGCAAGCAAGTCAGTTTTTCAAAAGAACAAACTCTCTTGCAGATTGTATCAGTTTACAGGAGGAAGTCAACCATTTACCACTGGCAGGGGTGTTTACAATGATCAACTTTGATTTAATTATGAAAAACCTTTATCCCAAAAGGTAAAAAACCTGTTTGCCATAACTGATTTTAACTTTAACTGCAGTGTGATCTGCAGTTTGGCTTCAATTTGTTTGTGTCTTTAAATCTGCTAGTACATTTAACACTACCCCCCCTCTCAGACTGATAATGCCGCTGTTCCCCTGTGCTCATTCATCCAGAGTGAAGAAACTCTCATACAGGAGGTGTTTTTGACAAGATCACCAGGTGAAAAGGAGGAGGCAGAGAAAAGCCTAAAAAAAAAAAAAACAGACAACTAATGCAGCCACTAAATCTAATGATTGGTAAGCTGCAATATATTACATTTTAAGTTTTGGTGTTTAATACTGTTTTGTAGTATTGGGCAATGATGGACTATGATCCAAAAGACAAACTGACAATACCTCTGTGGTTGACTGTACGCAGACACTGCTTGCTCTGTATGTCCCAAACACAGACTGTTTCATCATGAGATCCTGATACCAGCATACTCCCATCCAGTGAAACAGAAAGACATGTTACCTGGTCCCTGTGAACAGAGATGAAGAAAGGTGCTTTATTTTTAAATACAATGTCTACAATAATGAACATGTATTTACCTCAGCCTATTATTGAGTTTACATGGGGGTGGTATTAGAAAGCCCTATAAGATAAACAAATGCTTCTCTTCCTTTTATGATAGCACTCAGTTTTCCTAATGTACCACAGATTTTGAGGGCAGACTTTTAATTTCCTCCCTTGGTTTTGAGGGTATTTATGATATATTACCCTCTGTAGTGTATATTAGTTAGAAGATCAATTTGAGGTCGAGTCCTCCTAAACTGTGAACCAGTTTGTTGCATATGGGGCTGCATAGCTCCAGATTGGTCAGCGTGCCCATGCTGACCCATGTCTTCAGTCAAAAGTGCCTACTGTGGGCACATGAGCGTCAGAACTGGACCACAGAACAATGGCAAAAGGTAGCCCAGTTTGATTAACTCAAGAATGGTTTGAGAAACACAAGTTTGAGGCATTGACTTGGCATTTAAATTCTCCAGATCTCAATCCAATTGAGCATCTGTGGGATATACTGGAAAAAGTCCAATCCATGGAGGCCCCACCAACTAACAAGGATCTGCTACTGATAGCCTGGTGCCAGATACCACAGAATACCTTTAGAAGTCTAGTGGAGTCCATGTCTCGAGGGATTTTAGTGGGTGGTCATAATGTTACGGCTGATTGGTGCAAGTCTTGTTTCAAACACTTAAAGAGTATCAAGCTTATTCAAAGGATAAAAAAGCAATGTGCAAAAATCAGTAACTTAAAACAACAAATCATCTGTATTCTGACTTCTCTAAGCACCAGAAATATGCTGATTATTCTCTATGAGTTACACTCCTATGAAACGTTTTAAGTACGCTTTCCACAGATGTTATTGCCGACTGCATTTTTCCTTTTATTTTTTTATTTTTATTTCTACACTGTGGTTGAGACTTGAGCAGGTTTACTGTAATAATTAGCCCTTATGATCTCTCTGCTGGCTTTGGGAAATGTACTTTAAAAAAAAAAAAAAAAAAAAAAAAAAAAAGCACTCTCCTTTCTACAACAGTGGTCACTTACGATAATTTGTGTCAGAAGCAGTTTCTCTGAACAGCAGCAAACAGAAATTGTAATTATGGGAACCATTTCCTTTCTTTGGAAATGTACTAGCTATTTTGCAGATTTTAACCTTTTCAAGAATTATTCCCCATATTTGTGACTTTCACCTTTCTGTGGATTAAACAATGGCAAGAAGCATTACTACCATTTAGCAGTGCCATTATCGGTAACATGCCTTTAACCATAGATTAAAACAAACTACATTTTCCCATTTCTTTGTGCTTTATCCTTAAAATGTGTGCTATACTTCTCACTGTGCACAATGTACATCCTAGTAATAATGAAGTCCTCCTACACTTCTACCTAGGAAATCACATGAAATATTGCTGGTCCCTGGAATAAAAGGTTTTGTGGATCACACTTTTTTTTTTTAAATTGACTTGTCCAAAGTTAGCAATCTAAAGTAGTTTCGGGTGGTTGCTTGAAACTAGTATATGTATTGAAACAGAGGTTGATGTGCGTTAGTTCTAAGTGGTTAAGACAGTTCACTGAATGAAACTATTATGGGATAAACCCCACTGTGTAGGTATTTATTGGAGAAAGCTACACAGCAAAGTTTCGGGTGGACATATACTATGTGATTTTCAAAAAATCATAAAAATGCTATTTCTTTGAAATGCATTTTCAAGAGTAGGAGCTTGCACTTTATAAATAAACTATATAAATAATGCCAGGCCTAAACACTGGAAAGACAGATATACAGGATAGAGGGATGCATTACCATACAGACAAGCAGAATATTCATGCTTTTCTATCATTCATAAATTGCATTTGAATCATCCCAACTTTTAGCCTGCTTTTCTTTCCTGCCAGTCAGTATATGAATTTTAACATTGCAATTATTTCACAGGGTCTTTGCACATAGGTGTACTGTCCCTGCTCAAGTAGCCCAGGTATAGAGTACAGCCTCCCAAAGACACAAATGGCAGCACGCTGCTGTACTTGGATATATGATGGTACCATTGTAAACATGAGTATAGCATACAGCTGTATGCAAAAAGATACAAAACCTTTCTATATTTTGCATTCACCTGTATGCTATAGTGGTGTTTACAACAGCACTGCCCAAGTACAGCAGTGCACATCTTTTTAGGTCAATGGGAGGCTGTATGCTGCACCTGTTCTACCCAAGTGGAGGAATTTGCATTGAAAGTGTGTTCAGCTGCCTGCGTTGAAAGACCCATAGGGTGCATTCACACCTGTGAGTGCACCCTGTCTGCAATTAGATACGTGAATCCCAGTAGGAGTTTCCACGATTAGTATCCATTCACTCATCTCCTCTACCTAGAATGTACACGGAACCAATGTACATTACACATCACTTCTGGCTGGGCTGTTACTAATTTAGCAAAAAAAAATTGCAACTATGAAGCAAAAGTGGCCCTGGCAGCAAAAAGGTTCAACTGTATAATATGATTTGTGTGCTTGTACAAGGTAAAATCAATTCCTCTTAATCTCCTCTTCTTGCTTATTCTTTTAAACGGTTACTGAACCCATAACCCTGCATTCATTATATCTGGTCTCCCACTGTACACAGAACAGTCTTGTGACTTCTATCAGTGTCCTGCAGAGCACTGGTTAAAGCTTGTAAGAGGAGTTTTCATTCTCCCCTGATTGTCCTATAAGGCTGCATAACCCCTGAACCTCTGTCTGTACAGCACCGATTGGCCCTGTGATGATCAGATGCACTCTCCCAAGAAAAAAAAAAAAAAACAAGAAATCCTGCTCTAGCACTACACACCAAAATGAGCATGTACAGCTTGCCCCCAAGGGTCTGTTCTATTAGCAGATGGATGGGGACTGTGGAAGAAGGGGAGGATCAGAAGACAGGATCAAACATCCTTTTTACACAATGCAAATGATTAACCCCTTTTGTTTCACAGTGAGTATAACAAGCATGCAGACTGATTTTTAGTGTTGTGGTTTAGTAACACTTTAATGCAATGAAATTTCAAATGTTTAATTGACTGCTATTGTCAACAAGTCCAATTTAAAATTAGAACTAAAAGGTAAAACTCCCCCCATTTTGGATAGCATAAGGGAGGGTTTGACCCTTCGTCAGGTTTCTTTTTTTCCCGCCATCTGTGTTCCATAGGGGAGATTTTCCTTCACTTAATGTCCTATAGCCAAAACAGGAAGTGAGAAGGAGTTCCTCCAAAGTGAGGAAATCCCTGGGCGGTAAAGATTCCAAAATTCAATTAATAGGACATAAATCTTGCTGTGTCCCAACATTAACAGAGCAAGTATTAAGGTTATTTTTGTAAGACACAAAAATAAATAAATACTCCTGCGCCACAAAATATCTATAGCCCTAGGTATAAGATGCTGCTGTGCAGTAGTGTAAACACCAAAACATCAAAAACAAAATTAACCAGCGCAAATAATACCTATACTAATCACTTAAATCACACTAAATACATAAATGTAAGGAAAATTACCCATATGTGTGACACTCTTAAAAAATGTATATACAATGATAATAACAAATGTGAATGTGCCCAAAGCACTTTAGTGCATAAAGATTATATATAAAGGAATTTAAAAAGTCCACAAATCCTTTTCCCAGCCTTCACAGTGTATAGAAAAAAGAAAAAAAAAGAGAAAAAAATCTTCTGTGCAAATATGCTTCCACCTTCCACCAGTGCAAACCAACATAAACCGCACTCACCAGATAATGGTGAGTAGTAAGCCTTTTTAGGAATTTCAGGGATCCTACACCCCCTCTATAACCTCCGGACCAACATTCCACCGTACAAGGCCAGCGTTGTCCTTCCACTCCCCTCTAAATCAGGACCTTCAAACCAGCTCCAGCGTTGTGTCAAAGAGAAAATATCATATAGTGTAATATTGCCAAACTATCACCAACCCTTAGAAATGTACAGTCAGGTCCATAAATATTGGGACATCGACACGATTATAACATTTTTGGCTCTATACACCACCACAATGGATTTGAAATGAAACGAACAAGATGTGCTTTAACTGCAGACTGTCAGCTTTACTTTGAGGGTATTTACATCCAAATCAGGTGAACGGTGTAGGAATTACAACAGTTTGCATATGTGCCTCCCACTTGTTAAAGCACCAAAAGTAATGGGACAGAATAATAATCATAAATCAAACTTTCACTTTTTAATACTTGGTTGCAAATCCTTTGCAGTCAATTACAGCCTGAAGTCTGGAATGCATAGACATCACCAGACGCTGGGTTTCATCCCTGGTGATGCTCTGCCAGGCCTCTACTGCAACGGTCTTCAGTTCCTGCTTGTTCTTGGGGCATTTTCCCTTCAGTTTTGTCTTCAGCAAGTGAAATGCATGCTCAATCGGATTCAGGTCAGGTGATTGACTTGGCCATTGCATATAACATTCCATTTCTTTCCCTTAAACTCTTTGGTTGCTTTTGCAGTATGCTTTGGGTCATTGCCCATCTGCACTGTGAAGCGGCGTCCAATGAGTTCTGAAGCATTTGGCTGAATATGAGCAGATAATATTGCCCGAAACACTTCAGAATTCATCCTGCTGCTTTTGTCAGCAGTCACATCATCAATAAATACAAGAGAACCAGTTCCATTGGCAGCCATACATGCCCACGCCATGACACTACCACCACCATGCTTCACTGATGAGGTGGTAAGCTTAGGATCATGAGCAGTTCCTTTCCTTCTCCATACTCTTCTCTTCCCATCACTCTGGTACAAGTTGATCTTGGTCTCATCTGTCCATAGGATGTTGTTCCAGAACTGTGAAGGCTTTTTTAGATGTTGTTTGGCAAACTCTAATCTGGCCTTCCTGTTTTTGAGGTTCACCAATGGTTTCCATCTTGTGGTGAACCCTCTGTATTCACTCTGGTGAAGTCTTCTCTTGATTGTTGACTTTGACACACATACACCTACCTCCTGGAGAGTGTTCTTGATCTGGCCAACTGTTGTGAAGGGTGTTTTCTTCACCATGAAAAGAATTCTACGGTCATCCACCACAGTTGTTTTCTGTGGTCTTCCTTTTGGTGTTGCTGAGCTCACCGTGCGTTCCTTCTTTTCAAGAATGTTCCAAACAGTTGTTTTGGCCACGCCTAATTTTTTTGCTATCTCTCTGATGGGTTTGTTTTGTTTTTTCAGCCTAATGATGGCTTGCTTCACTGATAGTGACAGCTCTTTGGATCTCATCTTGAGAGTTGACAGCAACAGATTCCAAATGCAAATAGCACACTTGAAATGAACTCTGGACCCTTTATCTGCTCATTGTAATTGGGATAATGAGGGAATAACACATACCTGGTCATGGAACAGCTGAGAAGCCAATTGTCCCCTTACTTTTGGTCCCTTAACAAGTGGGAGGCACATATGCAAACCGTTGTAATTCCTACACCGTTCACCTGATTTGGATGTAAATACCCTCAAATTAAAGCTGACAGTCTGCAGTTAAAGCACATCTTGTTCGTTTCATTTCAAATCCATTGTGGTGGTGTATAGAGCCAAAAATGTTATAATTTCTGTCGATGTCCCAATATTTATGGACCTGACTGTATATCAAACCACTCACATTTTCCAAATAGAAAAGCATGTTTTATTATCCTCCATCGATAGGGAAAAGACCATAAATTTCCACAAATAGATTTCAGAGACCTCACAGCTCAACTTTGCAGAGGATGACAGTGTATAATACAGATCCCAATATGGCCGCTGGAATGCGTCACTTGGCGTGCCCTCCACTCACCGGAAGTTGCGCAGGACGTTCAGATACTGAACCAGAAGTGCGTCGGCGCGTTTCGCCCCTCTCACCGGGCATTTTCAAGATCAAGAAGAGGGGTGAAACGCGTCGACGCACTTCCGGTTCAGTATCTGAACGTCCTGCGCAACTTCCGGTGAGTGGAGGGCACGCCGAGTGGCGCGTTCCAGCGGCCATATTGGGATCTGTATTATACACTGTCATCCTCTGCAAAGTTGAGCTGTGAGGTCTCTGAAATCTATTTGTGGAAATTTATGGTCTTTTCCCTATCGATGGAGGATAATAAAACATGCTTTTATTCTATTTGGAAAATGTGAGTGGTTTGATATACATAAGGGTTGGTGATAGTTTGGCAATATTACACTATATGATATTTTCTCTTTGACACAACGCTGGAGCTGGTTTGAAGGTCCTGATTTAGAGGGGAGTGGAAGGACAACGCTGGCCCTGTACGGTGGAATGTTGGTCCGGAGGTTATAGAGGGGGTGTAGGATCCCTGAAATTCCTAAAAAGGCTTACTACTCACCATTATCTGGTGAGTGCGGTTTATGTTGGTTTGCACTGGTGGAAGGTGGAAGCATATTTGCACAGATTTTTTTTTCTTTTTTTTTTCTTTTTTCTATACACTGTGAAGGCTGGGTAAAGGATTTGTGGACTAATTAAATTTCATTTATATATAATCTTTATGCACTAAAGTGCTTTGGGCACATTCATATTTTTTTGTAAGCTTCCAACATTGATAAATTTCATTTAAATCATCACGTAGTTTTTCTCCTGGTATAGGGATTTAGTTTGTTTTTTCTTTTAATCCCAGTTCAACAAAAAGTGAACCGTTATTTTATTTCTGGTTTTCGCTGGACGATCCAGTCATTGATCGATATATTAATATATTTACACACACAAAAAGCAGATAGTATGTGTAGACAGAATAAGTATGGATAAAAACAGAACTAACAAAAGGTTCAGGGAAGTAAATAATTGTTTTAGCAGAAAACTTCCTACCTATGTCCTCTAAACACCTTTTCTTGCTCAGCAGTGAAGGTCTTCTCCCGCTGCACTGGCTGCAGAAACAAGAAAAAAAAAAAGAAAAAAGACATTTCACTGTTTGGAAACAGTTTAGGTCACACTTAAAAATTTAGAAAGGGCACTTACCCATGCACAAAGATCCACCTGGAATATCGAGCCATCACTACCACCACAAAATAAGTGATATTCAGCTGGGTCAAATGTTGTTGACGTGATTCGGACATCAAAGAGCACAGATACCAAAAGTTCCCCAGAGGCAATGTCCCACAGCTGAAATAAATCATAGATTTTCTTAGAGCACATGCATTAACCAGGGGAAGGACTGTAAAAAAAGTTAGATTCTTTGCCTTAACTAGTTGCCGACCGCAGATAGCCGAATGATGGCTGCACTGCGGCCGGCCAGTTCTGGGTGGACGTCATATGACGTCCTCCCAGAACGCGCTCTCCTGCGCGCCCCAAGGGGCGCGCACCCGGCGATCTCCGTGATCACTGTGTCCTACGGACACAGCTGATCACGTGATGTGGTAAGAGGCCAATCACAGCGGCCTTTTACCACGTGATCAGCGGTGTCCAATGACACGCTGATCACAGGGAAATGCAAGTGCCGGTTCTCGGCTGCACTTTCCTCACGCTGTCCGATCGTGAGGAAAGTACTGCCGAGAACCGGCAGTTGTCAGAGCGAGGATCGGCACCGATCATCAGGGCACTGATGATCAGTGCCCTGATGATCGGTGCCCAGCAGTGCCATCCACAAGTTCCACCCACCTGTGCCCAGCAGTGCGCCCACTAGCTCCGCCCACCTGTGCCCAGCAGATCACCCACCTCTGCCCAGCAGTGCACCCACCTCTGCCCAGCAGTGCACCCACCTGTGCCCAGCAGTGCACCCACCTGTGCCACTCTGCAGTGTCACACACCTGTGCCCAGAAATGCCACCTACCTGTGCCCAGCAGTGCCACCCACCTGTGCCCACCCACCTGTGCCCACCAGTGCCCAGTGCAGCCAGTCAGTGCAGCCAGTCAGTGCCCAGCGGTTGTGCCAGTCAGTGCCGTCAGTGCCCAGCAGTGATGCCAGTCAGTGCCGTCTATCAGTACCCATCATCAGTGCCGCCTATCAGTGCTGCATATTAGTGCCGCCTATCCGTGACACCTCATTAGTGCTGCCTATCAGTGCCGCCTATCCGTGCCACCTCATTAGTACTGCCTATCAGTGCCCTTTAGTGCTATCAGTGCCGCCTATCAGTGCCTCCTCATCAACGCACATCAGTGAAGGAGAAAAATTACCTGTTTGAAAAATTTTATAATAGAAACAAAGAAACTTTTTGTCAAATTTTTTGCACTTTTTTTCATTTATAGCGCAAAAAGTAAAGCGCCCAGTGGCGATTAAATACCACCAAAAGAAAGCTCTATTTGTGAGAAAAAAATGATCAAAATTTCATATGGGTACAATGTTGCATGACCGCGCAATTGTCAAAGTTCGGCAGCGCTGAAAGCTGAAAATTGGCCTGGTAAATAAGGGGGTATAAGTGCCTGGTAGGCAAGTGGTTAAAAAAGAACTCCACTTTTGTGGGGGGGAAAAAAAAATAGCAAATTAAAAAAAAAATAATATAGCGTATATAATTGCGCCCAAAGTCATATTGTAATTGAATGTTATTAAAAATTATCTTTTTAAATCTGCAGCGCTAGAATTTTCTGTAAAATGCCATGCAATATGGCTACCTGGAGGTGTTCTGTACATTGAATGAGTACATAACACCCCCAGAAACATAATTTCCTGCTTGTGTGATTGGCTGATTTTAATCTTAGTCTGCACTAAGATACAAATAAGAATTCAGGCATCCCCTGCAAGAAAAATATCATTTTTGGTGAGATACTCACAAAATGAAATCATGTCCAGAAGGATGCAAACGCTGACACTTTCCTCAGAGCCCTGCAGGTTCAGCAGCTGATTGATAATTATGAAACCACTCCTATAAAGATTCACTTTGCATATTGACACAAACAGCTATCTCTCCAGAATAACAAAAAGGTAGAAATTTGCAACAAAGTTTGTTAAAATCCTTGCACTGTACATAGATTACCCAGAGGGGAATGTTTTTTTTTCTCAACAAAAGTGGAGTTACTATTTAAAGCCCCATTCACACCTGCACAATGCATGTATGTAAAGTTATCTGCACATTTGTCATGTGACAGCATAGGGACCGTTATCATCGAAAGTAAATTAAAAAATTCTAAATTTTGGGTTGATACCAGAACGGGAATAAAGGGGTAATCTTCCAATGGGGACAGTTGTTCTGGTGACACCCTTGTAATCATACACTTTGGAGGGATTTCCTTTTACTTCCTGTTTTGGCTATGGAAAATCTCCCCTATGGGACACACATGGCAAAAAAAAAAAACGGACAGGGGATATAACCCCATTACTTATCCAAAATGAAAAAATAAAAAAGCGTTTTCCCTTTCGATCTACTTTAAGTCTGTGTTCACGTCAAACACCCAATCATAACCACTAGAATTTTCAAAACCCAATAACACTGCTGTACTGGATGTATAGAGAAATTTAGGCTAGGTTCACACCTAACCTTTGAAGTGCCATGTGTAAAAACATGCACATTTTTTCACATTTATGTGCACTGCTTATGGAAAACACCTCAATAGTTTGCAACTTTCTTGAGGGCACATAGTGCTGCAATGCATGTTAGTCTATTGTGCTACTGTGCAGTGCACCAGTCTGTGAAGTGCGTTGGGGTGCCATTCAGAATGAATAGCACTGCATCGCATCAACGTTAGAAGCGTGTGCAGTCTTTTGTTGTAGTAACACACACAGGACCGTGAACATTCATTCAACATAAAAGTGTGAATGGGGCCTTAGTAAATCTACCTCTATTTTTTAACATGCCCTGGCAGAGAAAAAAAAAAAAAATAACTGCATAGTTTTATATCCAGTTTATGTATACAACCCTGTGCAGTAATATGCTAGCTGTAGTTTTGTAGGGTACAGCAAATTACGGTTCTTTAGAAATTATTTTGATCTTTGGACAAAATGATGTAACATTTAGGGTCTCTGAGCTAGACAAGCAAAATGAGCTTCTATTAACAGGGGTATAAAGCTTAGTCACTAATTGAATCTTAGCTAATTGAATGCGTCCAGTATTCAAAGCATGCTCACAATTAAAATGGATTTATGTGTCCACTCACGGACTTCTTTTGCTGCACATCATGATTTCTTCAGTTCATGCTATTAGAGAAGAAGGCTCTAAGCACAGAAGCATGGTTTAATGTTCGCTTCTAAACACCATTTTAACCACTTGCCCTCCTGAGGATTTACTCCCCTTCTTGGCCAGGCCATTTTTAGCGTTACAGCGCTGACAATTGCGCGGTCATGCAATGCTGCACCCTAATAAAATTTACGTCCCTTTTTTCCTCAGGAATTGAGCTTTAAAAAAAAAAAAAAAAAAAAAAAGTGACAATTGAGAAAAAAACAATATTTTTGACTTTTTGCTATTAAACATGTCCAGTAAAAAAATTTTCAAAATGAAGTTTTGTCATAAATTTACGCCAAAATGTATTCTGCTACCAAATTGGTTTACGTGAAAGTTATAGCGTTTACAAATGGCGGTATATATACATTGGGGTTTTTTTTTTTTTTTTTTTTACTAGTAATGGCGCCAATCAGCAACTTATAGGGGGACTGCAGCGGACATTCTGACACTGGTGGGAACTGACTTGGTGTCACTGACATCCCTGGTGACACCAATACAGTAATCAGTGCTTAAAAAAAAAAAAAAAAAAAGCACTGATACTGTACTAATGGCACTGGGCAGGAAGTGTTAACATGAGGTGGCAGTCAAAGGGTTAACTGTGTGCTGGGAGTGTTTTCCTAGGGGGCTGTGCCCGTGTGCAGCCATCCAAAGCAGTGTGCCCGAGCTGACAGGGAGAATGGTTAGTAAACAAAACAGTTCTCCTCACTGTCGGAGATCCTCCAAAATCACCGGGCACCTGCGAGCAATCACCAGCAGGGACCCGGGCAAATGTCCCCTACCCAGAAATGCAAAATCATATCATATTATATATATATATATATATATATATATATATATATATATATATATATACATATATATATACACATACATACATACATACATACATACACACACACACACACACACACACACACACACACACACACACACACACACACACACACACACGATTTTGTGCACCCGTGCCGCCCTGTAGCAGTATTTCTGCTATAGGGCGGTTGGGAAGCGGTTAAAGAACATAGCCTTCAGTAAACATTTAAAGCAGTTTTAAACCAAAGAGCAAACAATTCTGCCCATTAGATTGCATTACATGGGAATGCATGGTAACATGCGTTTTAGTGCTTTTGAGCATTATTTTCTGCCAAAATGCTGGTGTTACTGGATGTGCTGGCAGTTTTTTTTTCTCTAAACTCATGTGTGTGCATGGACAGATAGGTTAACATGAAGAAGAAGAGATGCAGGAAAAAAATAAATGAAAATAAATCAAATGCCTGTACAAGTGGCATTTTTTAGCTCAAGTGTGCATGAGGCCTAAAAGCAGTATTAAACCCAAAAGCAAACATTATATTGCAACTTACCAATTCCTAGATGTGAGGTCTGCATTAGTTCTCTTAGTTAGGCTTTTTTTTCTATTTTCATCTGGTGATCCAGCCAGTAAACCTGTTTGTCAACAGAACAAGCTGTTCTGCAAATGCATCACTTACAGGGATGAGACAAACCATTTAACACTGACAGGGGTGCTTACAGCTTTTATGTAAAACCATTATCCTAAAAGGAAAAAAGCTGCAATATATTATGTTTTTGGTTTTGGGTTTAATTAGGCTTTAAAGGCATCAGTTTTCCTGAAACCTTTAAATATGTGCATCTGCCCCACCATACACAGGTTCCTACCACACACTTTTCCACAATGCAGTGAAAGCAATACAGCTTGATCAAGACTGTGCAAGCAGCCCACTAAACAAGTAGTCTAGGGGCAGATTTACTAAAATTGGTGCACTCAGAATCTGGTGCAGCTGTGCATGGCAACCAATCAGCTTCTAACCTCAGCTTGTTCAGTTAAGCTTTGGCAATAAAACCTGGAAGCCAGTTGGTTTCTATGCAGAAGTGCACCAGATTTTGCACTATCCAGCTTTAGTAAATAAACCCCTATGTGTTCTTTCCTCAATCACAAACTTTGCTAGTTTCATACCATTGTGTAATACATTAATTACATCTTGCTGCCTCTTCCACTTCTATGCTAATTGAGGATTTTAACCATTAGCCGCCCGGCCAATGGCCGTTTGGCGGCTTGAAATGCGCTCCTAAATTCCGGGTGCACGCCATTTGGCGTGCTCCCGCACATGCGCAGTTTGCGGCACAGCAGAGCGGCGCAGCAGCGGGATCTGTCACGGGAGTACCGGCTCCCGTAGCTGGTACCATGTGACCTGCTGTGACCAATCACAGCAGGTCACATGATAGTTGTATACAATGGATGGCTTCATTCATGATGCCATCCATTGTATACTAGTGCCTAGCTGTGAATGGTCACAGCAGGTCACATGCACATGTCATGTGATTAGCTGTGACCAAATCACAGCTAAGCACAAAAAAAAAAAAAAAAAAAAAAAAAAAAAAAGCTGAATGAATCGATTTCATTCAGCTAAATGCTTGCTTATAGCAAAGTAATTCTTTGCTATAAGCAAACTGTGTAAAAAAAAAAAAAAAAAAAAAAAAAATACTGATCACTCCCCCAAAGTAGTACAATGTTACTATGGTAACATTGTACTACTTTGGTCATAGTAAAATATGAAAAAAAAATCTTTAAAAAAATGTAATAAAAAATTAAATATAATAAAAAAATAAAAAAAAAAAAAAAATATATATATATATTTTTTTTTTTCATACTGTCACCAGTCAGTGTCCATGTTCACCGTCATGCCAGTTATATGAAGACGCTGTACTGCACTGGTGACAGTATGTAAAAAAAAAAAAAATAGTGAAAATAATTTTTTTTAATTTTTTCATTTTCCAAAAAATTATGACAAAAAAAATACAACTTCAAAAAACTCGCCATGCCTCTTATGAAGTACGTCGGACTGTCTACTCTGCAAAAAGGGGTCATTTGGGGGATATCTGTACTATTCTGACATTCTTGGACCTCAAGAAATTAGATTGGCTGTCAGTACTTCAGGATTGATCAATATTCAGATCTATACCATAGTTTGTGAACTCTATAACTTTCCTACAAACTAAAAAATACATCCTAATTTGGGTTATTTTCACCAAAGACATGTAGCAGAATACATCTCGGCCTAAATTTATGAAGAACAATTATTTATTTGTAAACTTTTATAACAGAAACAAAGAAAAATGTGTTTTTTTTTTCAAAATTTTTGGTCTTTTTTTGTTAATTTAGCAAAAAATAAAAACCCCAGCGGTGATTAAATACCACCAAAAGAAAGCTCTAGTTGTGTGAAGAAAATGATAAAATTTTAGTTTGGGTACAATGTTGTATGACCGCGCAATTGTCATTCAAAGTGTGAGAGCGCTGAAACCTGAAAAATGGCCTGGGCAGGAAGGTGTAAAATCACACGGTATTGAATTGGTTAAGGGGGTTATAGGGAAGTAGATATCAAGAGTTAGTTAGAAGTATAATCTATATGACCACAATTACCTTAACAGTCTGGTCCAAAGAGGAAGTTACCACTCGAGCTTGAGGGCCTCCAGAACCACATTGTACGTCTGTGATGGGTAGTGTGTGTTGGGTCCACATATGTCTGGGTTCAGGACCTCGAGATCCTTCAGCCTGCAATACACTGAATACGAGACTTTTATTAATTTATCAGTTTGAAATAAATCAAGAACTATATAGACAACCTTGTTATATATATATATATATATATATATATATATATATATATATATATAAAATCATCCAATAGGTGTGCTGTTCTGGTGACAACTACCTATAATGAAATTTCCCACACTTTGCAGAGATTGTCTCTCACTTTTTATTGCATCTCCAGGACAGGAAGTGAAAGGAAACCTAACCAACAAGACATCACAAAAAATTACTTCACAGGAGTGATGGTTATGTGCACTGCAGAAGAAACACACTGGCTCCAAGTGCCACGCTTCACAGCTTTTCAGGCCCCAAGAGAGTACAGTGCATCACACCTTTAGACCAGATTAACACATAGGCAGTGTGGATTGAAGCTCAGGTTTTACAGCTAATTGATACAGCAGCTGTTCACAGATTCATATCAGGTTTTACATCAGGTTCAGGACAGGATTAGCTCAGGATCTTATCCTGTTCACACATACAGTCAGGTCCATAAATATTGGGACATCGACACAATTCTAACATTTTTGGCTCTATACACCACCACAATGGATTTGAAATGAAACAAACAAGATGTGCTTTAACTGCAGACTGTCAGCTTTAATTTGAGGGTATTTACATCCAAATCAGGTGAACGGTGTAGAAATTCTAACAGTTTGCATATGTGCCTCCCACTTGTTAAGGGACCAAAAGTAATGGGACAATTGGCTTCTCAGCTGTTCCATGGCCAGGTATGTGTTATTCCCTCATTATCCCAATTACAATGAGCAGATAAAAGGTCCAGAGTTCATTTCAAGTGTGCTATTTGCATTTGGAACCTGTTGCTGTCAATTCTCAAGATGAGATCCAAAGAGCTGTCACTATCAGTGAAGCAAGCCATCATTAGGCTGAAAAAAACAAAACAAACCCATCAGAGATAGCAAAAAAACATTAGGCGTGGCCAAAACAACTGTTTGGAACATTATTAAAAAGAAGGAACGCACCGGTGAGCTCAGCAATACCAAAAGACCCGGAAGACCATGGAAAACAACTGTGGTGCATGACCAAAGAATTCTTTCCCTAGTGAAGAAAGCACCCTTCACAACAGTTGGCCAGATCAAGATCACTCTTCAGGAGGTAGGTGTATGTGTGTCAAAGTCAACAATCGAGAAAGACTTCACCAGAGTGAATACAGAGGGTTCACCACAAGATGTAAACCATTGGTGAGCCTCAAAAACAGGAAGGCCAGATTAGAGTTTGCCAAACGACATCTAAAAAAGCCTTCACAGTTCTGGAACAACATCCTATGGACAGATGAGACCGAGATCAACTTGTACCAGAGTGATGGGAAGAGAAGAGTATGGAGAAGGAAAGGAACTGCTCATGATCCTAATCTTACCAGCTCATCAGTGAAGCATGGTGGTGGTAGTGTCATGGCGTGGGCATGTATGGCTGCCAATGGAACTGGTTCTCTTGTATTTATTGATGATGTGACTGCTGACAAAAGCAGCAGGATGAATTCTGAAGTGTTTCGGGCAATATTATCTGCTCATATTCAGCCAAATGCTTCTCAACTCATTGGACGCCGCTTCACAGTGCAGATTGGACAATGACCCAAAGCATACTGCAAAAGCAACCAAAGAGTTTTTTAAGAAGTGGAATGTTATGCAATGGCCAAGTCAATCACCTGACCTGAATCTGATTGAGCATGCATTTCACTTGCTGAAGACAAAACTGAAGGGAAAATGCCCCAAGAACAAGCAGGAACTGAAGACAGTTGCAGTAGAGGCCTGGCAGAGCATCACCAGGGATGAAACCCAGCGTCTGGTGATGTCTATGCGTTCCAGACTTCAGGCTGTAATTGACTGCAAAGGATTTGCAACCAAGTATTAAAAAGTGAAAAAGTTTGATTAATGAATTTTATTATGTTGTATTACTTTTGGTCCCTTAACAAGTGGGAGGCACATATGCAAACTGTTGTAATTCCTACACCGTTCACCTGATTTGGATGTAAATACCCTCAAATTAAAGCTGACAGTCTGCAGTTAAAGCACATCTTGTTCGTTTCATTTCAAATCCATTTTGTGGTGTATAGAGCCAAAAATGTTAGAATTGTGTTCATGTCCCAATATTTATGGACCTGACTGTATGCGGTTTAAGAAGTTTCCATAAAAGTCAACAGCCTGTAATCCACTGAACTAGACTGCACTGCTCAGAAATCAGGCAAGACTCTTTTTAAAACTGCACTGAATCCGCAACGGCCGTGCACTGGACATATGTGAACAGGCACCATAGGAAGCAATGTTATTTCACGTCATGCTGATTGGATGCAGTTCAAACTGCATCCAATTCACATACATATGAATGGGCACTTTTACTTCCTGCAGTCTGGAAGGAGGTGTTGCGTTTTCTACAGACAATGCTGTACAGGTGCATCTCAATAAATTAGAATATCAAAAAGTTGATTTATTTCAGTAATTCAAATCAAAAGTGAACTTCATATTATATAGATTCATTACACACCGAGTGATATATTTCAAGCATTTCTTTCTTTAATCTTGATAATTATGGCTTACACAGCTAGTAAGCCATAATTATCATTATTGATGATATTCAAATTTATTGAGATGCACTTGTATGCCTTTACCAGTAGGTTGAACTTTTGCCTCCTCCATAGAAAATTGTTTCATTAGTGTTGTGGAATATCACTGAGAATAGCAGTGATGTTTTACATGAATGGCAGAGATTTCCTCCATGATAATCAGTTATGGGACTGTAGGCAGGACTATTCATAAATAACAAAAGAAAAACTGGACTCAGATCTGTGGGTTTGAATTGGTAGCAGCCCTTTATTATAGATAGAAATTATATTTAATAAAATTGTTACCACTAAAAAAGTAAATAAATATACGGCAACATAACCATAATTAATCCACTTATAAAATACACATAGCTCAGCTATTGAAGCTCAAGCTAAAAACTACCAAAAAAACTTTCAAAGAACGGGACAAAATCTCATTAAAAAAGCAGCAACAAGGGGTGGGAGAGCGGGATGTGCTTTCTTCTTTTGATAGTGATGCACTTCTTCATTTATATAGGTGACAGCATGCGCCCCTGAATCCTTAGAGGACAGGTGACACTTCTATTACCAATCACAGGTAAGTATGCAAATTACCGTTACTCTAGAACCTTCTTTAGTCTGCCACGTTCCCATAGGTGGGGGGGGGGGGGGGGAGCACAGTTGTATACCCTCCCCCCACCTTTTATTCATAAAGTGGATCTAAACCCTCCTATCCTCTTCAGCCAAGAAAGCTGCCATCTTAGCCTGTTTGATCTGCAATTGCCATGATGCTGGGCATGTGATCAGTTATGACATTAGCCATTTGACAGTTTGGTTGTGAGCACAAAGAAAGGTGACAGTTAACATTCCAGGCATGCCCGGAATGTTACGGTTTTTTAAAACCGCTAAATTGAAGTGTTTACTTCTGCTTTATAGTGGTTTTAAACCCTTACATATACCATATACCCAGTGAATTGACATACCTAGAGATGAAACAAATCCTCCTATACAAGTTGTACCTGTTTATGCAAAATATTCTCTTCTCTACATCTGTTCAAAGGTCCAGAATTTATACAGCTTGTCTGAGCTGTCAAAAAAAAAAAAAAAAAAAAAAAAAAGGGGTGGAGAGCTGAATTTACACTCTGCAGAGCTCAGTGAGGAGAGCTTTGAGAGCCTATTGGAGGGAAGAATCCCCCCCCCCCCCCCCCCCAACACACACACTCCACGGAGCACACAGAAAGAGTTGAGGCTGTCATTCTGCTGGGGGTCCCACCCCTGTCATCATTTTTCTCCTGGTGTCAGAAAAACGTGTCAGAAATGATTCATGCAAATTTAGGAATGAAGTACCAGACAGAAATTACACTTAGTGCTTTTAACACTGAGAAGTATACACTATAGAGGGAAATGCTTTCTTCATATTTCATGTCTGAGGTTTACAATCACTTTAGGATAGAGTCCTGAACATCAACATGATCACTAGGAGGCCCTTAGATCCTTAACTGTCACCTATGGTTCTTTGTAGTCCATCTATGGACTTTATGGCATGCAATTTTTTCCACCAATTTTTATAAGATGCCTTTCCATTGGCAAAGTAAACCAAAATATTTAGCAATCCTGTTTTGCAACATATGTCTATATGTTGAGCAAACCTTCCAAAGCACTCATATGAATAAAACCCAAAATTCCTTACGTGAAAAGGTTCCACACCAGGACCAGGCTATCCTTTGCACCAGACACAAAATGGCTGCTGTCATCCGTGAACGTCAAACAGGTCAAATCCTGATAGTGACTATTGAGAATGGCAAGGAGATTTCCTGTACAAACCTACATACCACAGTGGAAGTGAAAAGAAGAAAACAAAGGTCTGAATTCAAAAGTGACAACAAAATACACAAAGATAACAAAATTATTTACAAATAGTCATAAAATGCAAGTGTGAATTTTTTACCTTTCACCTAAAAGCCCCTATGCTTTTCCTAATCTATTTTTTTACATTATAAATTGTGAATGACCTTACTCGTCATTAAAAAATAAAAGTACGCCATTTCTGACCACTCTGAAAATACTAGGATGAGTGGGTGTCTATAGTTTTCTCTGATCTGAAACAAGTGTGCAGCAAGCGCAGTCAGAACTCCTTATCTGTATGTGTTGATGAAGTGTTGACTGGTTAAGCATTGAGCTCCATTTTAAACTCAAAGTTTAAAAGAGAATGAATGGGCATTTCCATTCATTCCAAACTCAAATGTTAAAGAAAAGAAATTCCGAACTTTTGAATGGCATTTGTCAGTTCTCTAGCCAAACTCTGGCTCTTTATTTAATCCAATGGGCTGTGAGGTGGTTAATTTCCACCCTGCAACGCATGTAAACAAAAAGACAGGAATGGGGAATAGAAAAAAAAAAGGAAAGGAGGACTATTTACACTAGCGTCACTCTCTGAAGAGTGATTTGTTGCACTGGAATGCTTTTCAGAGGGCATTTGACAGGCGATTGGGATTATTTTCCCTCCTCACCATCTGTTTTACCCCCTAAAAGCCTGCAGCACTGCAACCATGTCAAATGTTTACAGTCCTGAAATGTGTACAACCCCATCAGTTGCCCTTGCAATTTTAAGGCCCACTACACACAATCAGAAAATCATACAATACCGCTTTGAAGCGATTGTATGATAATCTGATTGTTAGTACACAGCTACCGATAGCCATTCAGAACAGGTCATGTGAAATTATCCGATGGGACAAGCAAGAAAGGTTTTCTAGTACGATACCAGAATGTGTGATTTTCGTTTAAGCAATCAAGTTTTCATCTAAAAACACAATACACACATTACATCACTTCCGAATTTTTATTCGGTCGTACGAGTTTTTTTGTAACTTTAGTAACCTCTTCAATTTCGATATGGAGACTAGTATGCACCCCCCCCCCCCCCCCAAAGAAAAAAAAAAAAACACAAAAAAACAGACCATCATTTGTCCGATAATCTCATTGTGTGTACCAGGCTTAAAGGATAAGTTCACCTTTGGGAACATGTTGCATGTTCCACCTGTTTTAGGGTGGAAAATGGAACGTTTCCATAGCTGCTGCAGCCGTTGCTGCCCCCCCCCCCGACAGATAGTATAGGGAGACTGCCCCCCCATACTATCAGTACAATTTGAAACAGTTTCCACCCATATGGCTGAGTTATTCATTCATGGACTTCCGTGAATGACTGAACTGCAACTCCCAACACCCTTAGCGGCTGTCGGTTTGTAGTTTTCAATGAACTACCAAGGCACTGTGGAGCACCGTGATAGTTTATTGAAGCTTCCTGTAAGAATATCTGCTTGACCGTGCTTCCCATACGGCAAGCAGATATACTGACCGGTCTGCAGGAGTCCTGCATGGCATCAGCAGTCTACTGATCGCTGGTGGAATGCTTTCCAGGTTCCTGTAGACAAGAATAATAAATGCACATTTTTTCACCTGCAAAAAAATGTGAATTTATTAAATTTGTCTAAAATGTGAACTTATCCTTTGATGCTCCAAGTAAACTAGTGTTTTTTTTAAGATACTAGAAGCTATTAGCATTTTCGTTTGCTCCTAGAAGTTAATAGTGTTATCCTATGTGTACATGCACACTATTTTATGATAGAAGGGTTTTTTTCAAGCTTCACCAAAATAGTTTTTGTAGAGTTTTTGAGAGCATTTTCCTGGCAGAAAAAAAAAATGCTGAACTCTCCTAAATACTACTAAAACTCTCCTAACAGCTTTTTTCAAGCGTTTCTTTTTCTTTATGTACTGTAAAAAAGCTAATGCTTCTAATTGCTACTGCAAACCAGCATAAAAATGCTATTATCAACATTTTTTCATCCAGCTAATTTTTCAAGAGTTTTATTGAGCTTATAAAAAAATGCTGGTGTACATGGAGACTAAAGGATAAATACCGCTCTGGTAACATGCAACACCTGTATTAAAGGTATATCATGTTACCATAGAGCACCTGCCTGCGCCCCTCTGATCCCCCGTTGTGACACTGGGCAGGGAGTCTTCTCCACACACCCACTATCACAACTTAAAAAGAGCGCAGCCATACAAGGCTCCACCCACACAGCTGCAACATTCATTAACAGTGATCTGTGAATGAATAAACTACAACTATCCTCTGCCACTGCGGCAAACAGCTTGTAGTTTATAACAACTGTGAGGGTGTTGGCGAGCACTCTTGTAGTTCATTGATTCTTCCTGCTCTCCAGGTATGGGCAGACAGATATAGTGAGATTCTGCAGGAACCTGGCATTGCACCCATGATCTGCTGAATATGCAATGCTCTACATGCTCCAGAAAAAAAAAAAATTGCACTTTTTTTTTACCTGCACAAATATGTGCATTATTTTTTTTTTTTTTTTTTTTTTTTTTTACGGTGAACTTCTCTTTTAAATGAGACATTCGGGGTTACTAAACACACACACACACACACAACTGTGCTGCAGCATTGCAGTGATGCTGCAGCTGTCCTCCGCTGGCTCTAAGCCCAAGAACTGAACCATCCAATAGTCACTCAGTTCTCAGTCTGCTCAGTGCAGAGAGCAGGTGACTGTCGCTCTCCTCCTCCAGAGCAAACTGGGGAGGGGGGGGCAGGAGCAGCTGGCTCAGGCTGTCAGCCACATGCTCAGAGGTGGAGCCAGCTGTCAATCAGGTGGATTCGGAGATTATGGTCGAGACCCTTCCAGAGCCTGGAGGGGCTCCATGACATCAATTGACAACAGACTTTAGCCTGCTGATTCTGGGTCACAAGAGGGCAAAAGTAAATGAATTCCTATGACCCACAACAGAAGTATCACTGACAGGGCTTTTTTTTCAGCGGGAACAAGGGGGAACGCAGTTCTGGTACCTCCAGCACTGAATGTATGTGTTAGCAAAAGGGTGTTGTGATGTGCTGGAAGGCCTATTGATGCTGAATACTGGAGGGATCCATTGCTGGTAGGTGTTTGGTTGTGGCATGGGTGGATCTATTGTTACTGGTGGGGTCTGTCGTTTCTAGCGGATCCATTGTTGCTGGTTGGGGTTCTATATTCTCTAAATAGGGTAGTACTGGGAGGTGCGTAGGAGGCGGAGACAAGAGATGGTGCTCAGGGGTGAAAGTACCTGCACCTATTCTAGAAAAAAACCCTGACAACCAACATACTTTTCTTTTAAGGGGGAGTAGTTAGAGGGCAATAAAAACGCAGCTCAGCCAAAGGTGTAAACGAGTCCTAAGAATGAGTTTGAAGCTCAACTCTGATGACCATCTTTAGGACCCTCAGGGCATCATTGAGCTCTCTTCTCAGCAATGTTCAGTTGCCTTACCTCCCACAGGTAGATACTCTCCCCAATCCCCGCCACCAGGTACAATCCACTAGGAGAGGCGGCTAGACAGGTGACTGGTCCTGGGCACACGATCTTCTGTTGCAGCTGGTCCTATGAGGGGATAAAGAACACAGATCAGAGCCCCATACAGGTCAGCCCTCCCAGGAGTACACACACCACCCCCAGTACGGATCACTCGCCTTTCTCTGCAGCTCCCACACGTTGATGTAGTTTTTCCCCAGCTGTCCTCCGAGGAGGTATTGGCCGCCAAGAAGCGCCAGAGAGTGGGGTGTACTGTTCCCTCCCCGGTAGGTGAGCAGCACAGCGCCTGTCTGAGGATCCCATACTGAACAATTAGCCACCTGGCCGGCTGCATCGCTGCTCAACACCAGCTCTAAGGGCGCCGCCATGTTTGCCCGGGCTCCTCGGTCACGTGGTCTCCAGTCGGCCGGCCCCCTTGGCTTTGCTTAGTGATGAGATATGAGGTGGCGGGCTGGACTAGTAAGGCGGCTTTGTTCTCGAGGATCCCACACGTTCACGTTAACTACTAGGAGGTGTGAGGTGATGGAGGTCACATAAGCGGGGATTAGTGCTGTATTACACAATGCACCACTAAATGTGTATTATGGACTTGGAATTTCAGTCGGGGTCCTTTTACAAAGAGTCCTCTGTGCAGTGCAAGAAGAGCTGGTGACTACTGACTTAGGTTACATCAATTATTACTAGAAAAGCTACAATGTATGGGGAAATTGTGTGGTGTTCTTTCTCCACAGTTTGATATAAGATTTGTGTAGGTGGGCTTGAAAATGAGGGAGTGATGGCAGTTTACAAATCATGTCCTGATTTTTCAGCTCGAACTCTAGCTTCTGTCAGCTCCCACTCTAGTTTTGAACATTCTGCCATTCATTCCTCTGGGACCAATTTCACCATTAAAACAGCGATATTTCGTGAGCCATTCGGGGAAACATTCCACAAAGTAATAGCACATCAATCTGGAACAATCCGCATGTTTCAGTATATTACTGTCTATGTAGTGTAAAAACTGGGGGGGAATTAGGGTGGTAAATTTGGCTATAATAATAGGAATATATATGTGAGATAACAGTAAGTGGTCTTGCCATGCAAGAACGCTTAATTATACAGGATTTATATAGCGCCAACAGTTTGCGCAGCACTTTACAATATAAGGGAGACAGTACAATTACAATACATTTCAGTACAGAAGGAATACTGTAGGAGGGCCTTGCTCATGGAGCTTACAATCTAAAAGGAAGGGAGAGGTGGTACAAAAGGTGATATCTGTAGGCAGGCTTGGGCATTTTAGACTGAGCAGCCAATTTCCAGGGGGCTGCAAGGGCATTCGTGGGGGCAGTTGGTGACAGAATATTCACAGAGTCGGTCCTCCGTATTGTAAAGGGGACTACACTGTATTGATTACAGTGCCCCTTTACAGCACAGTGTTCCCTTTATATCACAGTGCCCTCTATATATTCAAAGAGATGGCCCAATCCAGCAAAGAAACATCCCCATATAGCAAAGATGGATTGTCTCTTTGCTGGATGGGGATATCCCTTCTTGGACTTGGCTGCCTCTTTGCTGGATTGGGATATCTCTTTATTGAACAGGGATGTCTCTTTGCTGGATGGGGATGTCCCTTCTTGGACTGGGCTGTCTCTTTGCTGGATTGGGATGTCTTTTTGCTGGACACAACTGGGCAAGGAGACAGCCTTTCCAGCAAAGAGACAGCCCGTCCAGCAAAGAGACAGCCCGTCCAGCAAAGAGACAGCCCGTCCAGCAAAGAGACAGCCCGTCCAGCAAAGAGACAGCCCCTCCAGCAAAGAGACAGCCCCTCCAGCAAAGAGACAGCCCCTCCAGCAAAGAGACAGCCCCTCCAGCAAAGAGACAGCCCCTCCAGCAAAGAAACAGTCTGTCCAGAAAAGAAACAGTCCGTCCAGCAAAGAGACAGTCCCTCCGCACAGCGGGAGGTGAGCGATGGCTGCGGTCTGTATTAGCTCTGTCCAGATCGTGGTCACCGATTACCTCCCGCTGTGCAGCCTAATGATCCTAAGCCTGGGCGGGCTTAGGATCACTGGGCTGCATGGCAAGAGGTAAGCAAATGCCCGGTGTGCCCTATGGCCAGTGTGGGCCTGGCTGTAGGCGATGTTCTGATGGAGGAGATTCAAGTACAGTTCTTAGGTGGAGGTGGGGTAGGCTTCCCTGAATAAGTGAGTTTTCAAAGTTCACTTAAAGGCAGACAGGGTGGGGGCTGACCGGACATACTGTGGTAGCAAGTTCCAGAAAATGGGAGAGGCTCTGGAGAAGTCCTGGCAGCGAGCATGGGAGGAGGTGATGAGGGCGCTAGAGAGCAAGATGTTTTGGGAGGAGTGGAGTGGGCGATTTGGCCAATATCTGTGGATGAGGTCGGTGATGTAGCTAGGGGCAGTGTTGTGGATGGCTTTGTATGTTGCGGTTAGTATTTTGCATTTTACACGTTGGGTTAGTGGAAGCCAGTGGAGGGATTGGTAGAGAGGGGCAGCAGTCACTGATCGGTTGGTAAGGTGTATGAGTCTAGCAGCAGCATTCATAATAGACTGAAGGGGGGATAACCTGTGTAATGGTAGACCAGTGAGGAGGGAGTTGCAGTTATTAAGGTGGGATATAACCAAGGCGTGGATAAATTGTTTTGTGGTGTCATTGGTCAGAAAGGGGCGGATTTTGGAAATGTTGCGGAGATTGAGGAGGCAGGATTTAGCCATTGATTGGATGTGGGGTCCGAGGGTGAGTCCAGAGTCTAGGATTACGCCTAGCACCCTGGCATGAGGGGAAGGACCATTGGTTGTGTTAATAGTAGCAATAGTGGTGTGACCCTCCTGCGCTCCAAATGTGTGTTTAAAACAAACTAAATTAATATATGAACCCCAAACAGCTGCTAGCATTAAATCATATATCAGTGATCAAGTAAATATAAACCATATAAATGCTGCGCTACATTCAAACTTATTTAAGTGAATGTGGAATCCAATAACTCAAATCAAAATAGTGACAATAATAATGAAAATAAATAATATGTGCTTAATGATAACAAAATTACCAAATAAACCACCCAAACTGATGAAAAAGCACAAACTTAAATCTATACGTATGTGCATGAGAAATACACATACATATATTACATCACACGTGCACAATGTGAAGTGAAATAATGACTAAATAATAAACGCAAACTCAAAGTCCAATAATGAAATGTTGAAGGTGAACAAAACTGTAAACGGTGTTTCCAATAATACTGTAAGGTGACCACAAGTGAAACAAATCGTGCAGATATCTGGGTGCAGATAGAGCTTGTGAATCCAACCACCTTCTGGATTAGCCTCTCACCTCATCACTTCGACCCTTGCGGGTCAAAGAGCAGTAATGGATCCCTCTCACAGATCCTCCAGGCACCACAGCACTCCAAAACCACTTTTCAGGATTTAGTATTCCCACTCAGGCTCTTCTCCAAGTATAGGTGAAATATCAATTTCTCAGAACAAACAAAAGAGGAATCCTCCCATAGTGTAGTATGTTTATTATACCATAGGAACATAAAAATCTTTGGTAAAATTGCACTTACGTAGCAGCCAGTCCACATTAGACCCTCATGCTCTCAGATGAGGATATATCTATGTTTGTTGGGTGTACAGCTGAATACACAGGTGTACCAAGATGGCCGCCACGCCGGAAATACGTCACCCGCGCTACGCCGACGCGTTACGTCACAATATCACGTGACTTCATCAGCCCTGATGAAGTCACGTGATATTGTGACGTAACGCGTCGGCGTAGCGCGGTGACGTAATTTCCGGCATGGCGGCCATCTTGGTACACCTGTGTATTCAGCTGTACACCCAACAAACATAGATATATCCTCATCTGAGAGCATGAGGGTCTAATGTGGACTGGCTGCTACGTAAGTGCAATTTTACCAAAGATTTTTATGTTCCTATGGTATAATAAACATACTACACTATGGGAGGATTCCTCTTTTGTGTTCTGAGAAATTGATATTTCACCTATACTTGGAGAAGAGCCTGAGTGGGAATACTAAATCCTGAAAAGTGGTTTTGGAGTGCTGTGGTGCCTGGAGGATCTGTGAGAGGGATCCATTACTGCTCTTTGACCCGCAAGGGTCGAAGTGATGAGGTGAGAGGCTAATCCAGAAGGTGGTTGGATTCACAAGCTCTATCTGCACCCAGATATCTGCACGATTTGTTTCACTTGTGGTCACCTTACAGTATTATTGGAAACACCGTTTACAGTTTTGTTCACCTTCAACATTTCATTATTGGACTTTGAGTTTGCGTTTATTATTTAGTCATTATTTCACTTCACATTGTGCACGTGTGATGTAATATATGTATGTGTATTTCTCATGCACATACGTATAGATTTAAGTTTGTGCTTTTTCATCAGTTTGGGTGGTTTATTTGGTAATTTTGTTATCATTAAGCACATATATTATTTATTTTCATTATTATTGTCACTATTTTGATTTGAGTTATTGGATTCCACATTCACTTAAATAAGTTTGAATGTAGCGCAGCATTTATATGATATTTACTTGATCATTGGTTGTGTTGTTGATCTTAATGGTAAAGTCATGAGTGGGAGATCGGGGGGGGGGGGGAGGAGGAAATATTACAAGCTCAGTTTTGGAAAGATTGAGTTTAAGGCTAGGCTCACACTAGTGAGGTATATCTCATGTGATTCGCACAGGAAGTGCACCGCATTCCTGTGCAAATCACATGCGATTTGTGGCTCCAATCACCCCGCACCAAAAGGGTGCAGGACCCTTTTTTGGGTCTGCACTAGAATCGGATCACATGGATATTCACACCTCTGCGATCTGATTCTGTACATTGAACCGCATTTTGCGGACCGATTTCTGGTTATTGTTAAGTTAACATACACACCCGCAGCGGTTCGCATGAACAGGATGCAATTTCTGATGCGGTGCAGAATTCGCACAGAAAACACTGCAATTTCCGCACCGCTTCAGTGTAAACCCAGCCTAAGGGAGTGATGTGACATCCATGCTGATATGTCGCTTAACAGATTTGTGATACTTGAGGGGACTGAGGCGGTGAGCTGGGGAGCAGAGAGATAGATCTGGGTGTCATCAGCATAGAGGTGGTATTGGAAGCCATGGGAGGTTATCAGTTGGCCCAGGGAGGAGGTGTGTAGAGAGAGAAAAGCAGGGGCCCAAGGACAGAACCTTTAGGTACCCCAACAGGAAGAGTAGTTAAAGTGGTATTAAACCCCAAACCAAAACTGTAACATATTGCAGGTTACAGGTGTGGTGGCTTCATCAGTTTTCTTTTTTTTAGGCTTTTTCCCTCAGTTTTCAACTGGTGATCTGGCCAATAACACA